ATGAGCAGAGTCACTTCTGTGGTACTCAGGGTGTGGCTTGGTAGGCGTGTAATATAAATTGTGGATTTTCTTTGAAATGGGATTTAATGTATCTTCCAGTTCACAGCCATACAGATGCCAGAGCCTGTGTGCATGACGTCATCTGCAGATTTGTACTACACGTGTCTGTGGTTTTTATACCTTAAACAGTCATTTTTGCGCACTGACATCCACTGCAGTGGTGAGCAGCATTACACTGGCATGGCACTGGCGTGTGCTGGAGATCATTCTGCTGGGTGACTCCTCTGAAGAAGATGTTCACATTTTTCAGGAGTTATTTTTTTTTAGTTTGAAATGAGTCTGCTCTCCTTAATCAAGGTACGCTGAGAAGACCACTACGACTAGGTTATCCCCGTCAAGGACGTCCATGTCATTCACAACTGGGGTTGGACAGAGAGGGTGGCCACTGAAAATGCACACAAGCTTATAGTTAAATTAAAGCTGTACATATGAAATGGCCATTCCGCCCCCACATGCCGTGTTAGGCGTAGCACCCAGGGAGTTGGGGGTTAAGGGCCTCGCTCAAGGGCCCACAGACATGCTGAGGCTGGGCTTTAACTGGCAACCTTCCCATCAGAGGCACAGAGGCTGAGCCCACTGGGCCTCAGACCGCCCCCAACTTCACCAACAACGGCACATTTTGAAAACATTTTGTACCAGCAAAGGCAAACAGCCGGGTGCAGAATAAATACCAAAATTTAATAATGAACAAAAAACTATGTCCGCAGAAGCAACACAGGCACAACGAGAGAGTGGAGAAACAGAGTGTGGTCTCCGCCTCCGTATGACAGCACAGGGAGATTCACAGTTCAGAGGGTGACATAAATGCTAGGTAGGTCTTGTGTCATGCCACAATGACGGGACATTAACACAAGAGACAGTGTAGCTGAAAAAAGTGTCTCTCAGGAAGTTAGTCACTCATTTTCTCAATATTATTACGGTAAGAGTCAGTGTCAGTTTGATTTCTGCTGTCGGCCACTATTAGGACGTAACATTTGCCTTAAATTGAAACCTACAAAACAACTTTTGGTTGAAAAACATGTGAATGTGTTCTCTGGGGGCCATAAAAGACATGAGTGGGAATTTGCTGGAGGTGATGGGGGGGTATGGGGTCTGTGACTGCAAACTGTGACTCAAGTCTTCCATTAATGTCTCCCCCATGGCTAAATTTGTCTGAGGAATGAAAATGGGCTACAGTTTAAAGCACCATACTGTGAATCACTATATTTAGCACTTTAACAAACTGGCGCCATCCCAGAATGCTTTGAGCATGACATATCAGCAGTAAAGCTATAGCAAAAGTAAGTCACACCGGAAATGACATCATGCTCAGGCAGCTTAGAGTTGTAGAAAGAAAAGGGAAAATGTATTCTTACTAAATATGAAAGTGTATATACAAATGCACAGGAAATAAAGATACATAATTTCACAATATGCTTACTGGTAACATTCTTAGATCTTTACAGAGGAATTCTAATGAACAGAATTCTGTTTGGTATGACTTTGACTTTTGGTGTAATCAGTGACTATGAATATGTGATCAAAAATAAACAAGCCTTTATTTACATTATTCCTTTGCCAACTAAAATGTTTCATATTCAACTGCGAGTCTCTTGAAGGTCACGGTTGCTGAACTGGCATAGGACGACATGTGGGAGGCTTTTTATTTGTTTGGAGCGGTTACCATGAGTGGGTGACTGCTGCAGAAGGAAGCGACCAGCCTGCTTTCTGTGAGAACATAAGATGGATTGCACTGTCAGTCCTCAGGGGGAAGTGGTTACTCTTTTTCCCAAGTGAAGTTTACCTTTTTGTTCCACCCATCAAACAGGCAGCCCCCATACCAGATGGAGCAGGGAAGACTGCAGTGCAAGCCCATTGAAAAAACATCTGCTGCTCTTACTTTTTCTGAGTCTCAGAGGGCTAGACATGGGGTCGGACCTGAAGGCCCACTGTAAGGTGCACCTTGCTCTCACAGGTATGTCAGTCTTAATGTCCTGTCAACTGCATTTAAAGCAAAAATTACATTTAAAAAGGGGCAGTGTGATGGTGCAGTGGTTAGCACTGTTGCCTCTCACCTCTGGGACTAGGGTTTGAGTCTCCACCGTGGCTCCATGTGTGTGGAGCTTGCATGTTCTGCCTGTGCTGGCATGGGGTTTCCTCCAGGTACTCAAATCCCCCCCACAGTCTAAAAATATGCTGAGGTTAACTGGGATTACCAAATTTCCCCTAGCTGTGTGAGTGTGCCCTGTGATGGGTTGGTGCCCTGTGATGGGTTGGTGCCCCATCCTGGGTTGTTCCCTGCCTTGCCCCCATAGCCTCCTGAATAGGCTCTGGACCCCAAGCAACCCTGAATAGGACAAGCAGCTACAGAAAATGGTTGGATGCATTTAAAATTACATTGTGCTTATTAACAGTGGAATGGCGACTCCAGTGTTAGTGACTGGAATCCTGCTTTGGGTATGTGTGTTTCCTTTGGTTTTCAATCAACAAACTAGAAACCTATTGTTACTGTACGTGACAGTAAACACTAGGTGTCACTAAATTTCCCACAGCATAAGTGAGACTGTGATAGTCCAGCATGCCATCCAGGGTGCTTCCTGAGAGGTCCCCAGGTGAACGTGACCCTTACCTGGAAACACCATTACAGAACATGGGTGATTATATATACACTCACCTAAAGGATTATTAGGAACACCATACTAATACGGTGTTTGACCCCCTTTCGCCTTCAGAACTGCCTTAATT